CGCGGCCGGGCGGCCCCCAGGCGCTTCTGTGCGGGCGGCCCGGCTGGGCCGAGGTCTCCCCGGGAGACCCAGGGCGGGAGCGGCCCTCAGCCGTCCCCGTGCCGCTCCCCCGCGCAGGAGTCCCCGGCGCCACCCTGCCCACCATGGCCAAGCCAGCAAGCAAGGATTCAGGCCTGAAGGAGAAGTATCCTGCTGGGGGGGCCCCGGCGCCACCCTGCCCACCATGGCCAAGCCAGCAAGCAAGGATTCAGGCCTGAAGGAGAAGTTCAAGATCCTGCTGGGACTGGGGACGCCGAGGCCGAGCCCCAGGTCGGCGGAGGGCAGGCACACGGAGTTCATCGTCACGGCCGACATCCTCCGGGTGAGTGCGCCGCCCGGTCTGCAGCCTCGCGGAGGAGCACGGAGGCTGGGCGAGGTCTGTCACCAGGTTCCGTGGCGGTGGGCGGCGGTCCCCAGTGCGACGGGGACACGTCCTTCCGTGGGGACCCAGCGTTGCCATTTCAGCCTTGGCCGTTCAGATGCGGATGCGGGCAGGCTCATTATACTGGTGGTGGTCCGGGTGCATCATTTCCACAGGGACAAGGGACAGGTCAGGCACTAGCTAGGGATTTGAGTTCCTGGGAGAACCCTCGTGTTCACGTGCGTTTGAATCCTCCTAACACATGTCTGGCCCCTGTTTTTCTTAGAAGTAAATGTTAAAGCTTTGTACTTGCAAAAAAAAACTCATAAACCACCAAAATGTTCATCCACTGATGAACAGATAAAAAATTGCTCCAAGGGGGCGTGGTTCAGCAATAAAGGGATGAGGCACTGAGCGCCTGCAGCGCGGGTGAACCTGGGAGACTGAACCTGGGAGACGCGGGTGAAAAGGGGCCGGTAATAGGGCTGTCTCCGCCCTCTGATTCTGTTCCTCTGAAATGCCTGGAACGCACAAACCTGGAGAAAGCGCGCACGGACCGTGTTTGCCGGGTGCTGCGGGGAGGAAGGGCTTGGTGTGAGGTTTCCCTTCGGGTCAGTGCACACACCCTGGAACTAGTGCACATACTCAGACCTGAATCGTGCAGTTTAAAGTTGCAGTGGTGTGATTTATGTTGTCTGGTCTATCTCAATATAAACTTTGCAGTCATGAAAATGAAAGTTGCCCCTTCTGGATCCACTGAGATGGAGTAGGAAGCTCTTTGGCGAGTCCTGGCTTTAGGAAGATCTGGTCCCAGTTTGTGGCGTGGAAAATGCCGGGCAGCCCTGGGGCGGCTTGTGCTTGGCAGTTAGGGACGCCTGCTGCCTGAACGCTGCTTCCTTTTTCTCTGTTCATCTCTCTAGGAACTGAGTGTGGAGTGTGGCCTCAATAATCGCATTCGGGTCATAGGGCAGATCTGCGAAGTGGCAAAAACAAAGAGATTTGAAGAGGTGGGTCCATCTCTGCTGGCCAGAGAGATGCATCTAGGTTGTTTAGAAGCCCGGGGTGCCTTCTCCAGGAGGTGGCTAACGGAACGTCGCCAGTGACCTGGTCTGCACCGTTTTAGGCTTTCCTCTTAGGGCCTGGAAGTATCTGGAAATGCTGAGTGCGAGCTGAGGGGGTACTTGGGGGTGGGGGGATGGGGTGGGGTGTGGGAGGGGGCCCCATCCAGGGCTGGGAGTGGACGCGCACTTGCCTCCCCTGTGGAAAAGCTGGGGAGAGAAAGCAGAGATGTCAGAAAGGGTGTGGCTTCACGGAGCAGCTCAGGGCAGCAGTCTCGGCACCTCCCTGGGAGAGGTGGCCAGTGCTCTCTGGCGACCTCACAGATGCAGGCGTGTTTTGGGTGAGTTTCCAGACTGCTGACATCCTGTGGACAGATGGAAGCCGGTCTGGGGGCGACGTAGAGTGCCTTGGGCTCTGCCTTCACCCTGCCAGCCTCTGTGGGAGACTTAGGGAGACCAGGACCCCACGCTCACAGACAAGCCTGTGATGGGGGATTGACCGCTGCCTCAGCCGCTCTCCCGAAATGCATGAGCTGCTCTTTGCAAGGGTAGAGGGGGAACAGGGCGTCCAGATTTAGAGTTGCAGAGTGTCAGGTGGACGGGCGCTGAGAGGCACTGCTGCAGCTCCGGGTGCTCCGGTAGGAGCGTGGTGAGTGCACAGCGGGCGAGAGCTCCAGCGGGCCCCGTGCGGGTTAGGTGTCGGTAGACAATGAAAGACGGGTGTCGCCGGCCCGTCCTAAGAGGGAGCACAGGAGGAGAGGAGCAGTCTGAGAGCTGCAGCTGGAGGGGTCGGAAGGTGGCATGTGAGGTGACCGCAGGGCCTGCAGAGTGACACTGGGCAGCTCTGCAGCGGGAGCCAGCTCCCCAGGGCCGTGGGAGCTAGCGTGTTGGAAGGCACGGATTGCGGATTGCCGCCTGGGCTCCCGGCAGAGCGCAGGTGTGCCCGCGGGTGTGGGACTCTGGGTCAGCATGGGCCAACCCACCTTGTGCTTGTGCTGCCGAGACGCGAGCCTTGGCGTCCGGGTCTGGGCAGCTGTGAGGGGAGCTGGGCCGGCTGCCCGGGTGGAGGTGGGAGGTAGGCCCTCTAGGCTTTGAGGTCGAGCGGCTCCGGGTCAGGCTGTGCTCGCGCAGGCTGCAGGAGCGCGCCCAGGGCTTCAGAGGGCGGGGCTCTGCCAAGAGACCCCATTCTGTCCTCATGTGGAAGGGCTGGCGTTCCTGTAGCCGAGCCCTTAGGCCTGTCCCCTTTGCTGGTGGCAGCATGCGGTAGAAGCCCTCTGGAAAGCCGTCGCGGACCTGCTGCAACCGGAGCGGCCACCAGAGGCCCGGCATGCGGTGCTGGCCCTGCTGAAGGCCATTGTTCAGGGGCAGGTGAGGAGCCGCGGTGGGACAGGGTGGGGGTCCTGTGCCGGAGCTGCCAGGCTGCCCTCTGTGCCGCTCTGCTGCGCCCTGCTCACTCCTGCCTTTGGTGTCGTCGCCAGCTACAGGGTTTGGTGGTCAAGGGCTGGTGGGTTCCCAGCCTGGCCTCTGGTGTCCCTGTGGCTTGGCTAAACCCATGACGCCCCCGAGCGTCTCACACATGTGCAGGCGTGTGTGTGTGTGTGTGTCTGCGTGTCTGTGTGTCTGCCTCTGCCTCCTCTCCCTTGGGGCGGTCCGTGCAGTTTCAGAGCGTCTGCCAGCTGTTGGTACCTTTCTCCTGCTGTCCTTGCCCTGTGCCCTGTCCTCCACTTGCTGATTCCAGCCATGCTGGTCTCTGCCACCTTTGAACACTGCCACCGGGCGGCGTCCTGTCCGGAAGGCTCCTCCCCGACTTGGCCACTTTACTCCTCCATGCCCAGCGGTGGAGGCTGGCTGCCCCCACTGCACCGCTCCTGGGGCTTTGCTGGCCTTAGGCCTTGTCTGCCCGGGCCCCGAGCTGGGAGGCAGCAGGTACGTCATTCCGGCCGTGTCGTACTGCGTAAAAAAACTGTGTGCCCCTCCCCTTCCTGGAGCCGGACGCACAGTAGGTGTGCCACTCATGCCGGTCAGCTGGCAGTTGCTGCGTCTGATCCCCTTGCCCAGAGCCCCTGGTGCTGCTAGCTCGGCCCTCACAGGTGCCCCGTGAAGGGAGAAGGGCTGAGGCCAGGCCTGTTGGCAGCCACGTGGAGGTCCCAGCCAGGCTCTGCTGACCTTGTGCTTTTGTCTTTAGGGCGATCGCTTGGGGGTCCTCAGAGCCCTCTTCTTTAAGGTCATCAAGGATTACCCCTCCAACGAAGACCTCCATGAGCGGCTGGAGGTGTTCAAGGCCCTCACGGACAACGGGAGGCACATCACGTACTTGGAGGAAGAGCTGGGTGGGTGCCACGTGGGGGAACCTCCGGGCTTGTGATCGAGTGTAATCTGGCATGCCAAGACCTGGACCAGGCGGGGGCTCTGCGGGGCACAGGGATGGCCTGACTCCAGGCCCCTCCTGGGGAGCTTGTAAGGATGCAGAGTCAGGGCCGGCCTGCAGGGCAGTGGTCCGTACCCTGGTCTGGCAGCTTGGAACGCAGCCTGGGCGTGTGCACACTTGCCTAGGTTCTTGCTGGATAGAGGAATGGAGAAAGGCCTGCCGGCAGCCGGCCCTGTGGGGTCGCTTTCTCCTTCCTTATCTTGGGAGTGCGCGTGTGGCCCCTGGCAGGCTTCTCTCCAAACCTCTGACCAGGAGCGCAGGGGTGCCAGGGCTGGAAGTGTGCCTCTGAAGTGGGCGTCCAGGGCGAGTTCCGTCCCGGGAGGGTGCTGCTGACCTGGTCTCCCCTACCCTGTCCATGCTGGCCGCCACCTCTCTGCTGTAGGTTGGCCTCCTGGCCCCCTTCAGCCGACCTTCCTCAGGCTGTCCTGACTGAGGTTGGGTTTGTCCTGCGGCTTCACGTTGTTGCACTGGCCTGAAGAGGCAGGAGGGAGAATGCAGGCTGTCTGTCTCCCAGGGAAGGGCCCGAATGGTCAGGGTGCTCCCTGGAGCAGGTGCTGCAGGGCCTGCTCTAGTGTCCAAGCAGCCACGTGCGTGTGTCTTGGAGAGCCTTGGGGGCTGGGGTGGCCCAGGGCCCTGCACAGACATGCTCCCTGTGAGCTTGCTGTGCCGGGCTGGGCTCTGCGCCTGGAACTCTCCAGGTGCTGCCACGTGGCTAACCACAGCTCGGGTCCTGGACCCAGTGGCTCGAAAATCACGCTGCGGGGAAAAAAATTTCAAGTAGTGTTCTCAAACTTGTGTAGGCATTTGTTTTCTCTGAGTTTGGTTACAAGATTTTACCAATAACCTACGTTTTTCCCTATAACACACATATTAGATACTGTTTATTATTTTTAAGAATTATTTTATTTAATTAAATAAGTTAATTAATTTTAATTTGACCAGAGAGGGACAGAGCGAGAGCAAGAGCGAGAGAGAACAAGCCGCCAGGTCTGTGACTTGAACCATGGTTGACCATGTGGGAGTGCAGTACCCTTAACCACCACGCTACCTGCCGGCCCCCTTTTTTTATTTTTATTTTTTATTTTTGGAGAGGTTTTCACTATGGGGCGCGTGCGCTTGCCAGACAGACAGAGAGAAACAGAGAGACAGAAAGCGAGAAATCACCCCCCAGGGGGGATGGCCACGCCGCAATCCCTTCTCCTCCATTCTCCTCTCGGGATCTTG